GGTCCTACATCCAAGTCCCACGTCGTCGGGCATGTAGTGTAGTGGTTATCGCGCCTCATTTGCACGTTCGCGATTTGAGGAGGTCCCCAGTTCAATTCTGGGTCTGTCCATTTGTTTTGTGCTTGATTCTGCACTACTGAGCGCGTGATACTTCCCCCGTGAAAATTTAACAATTTGTTTTTGATTGTCGGTCGATAAAGCACTATCTCACCAGTAACTTAGAACTTGGATATCCCAAGTACCTCAAAGAGCTATTCAATGCTATTGCATCGGAAATCATAGTAAGAACACCCGTATATGCGGTCGTGGAGTGGAATATGTGCGACTGCAAGTTCAAGCGCTAACCTTCTCTCCCTAACCCTCTTGTTTGCATATGTTGTGCTCTAGACAGACTCGTCCCAGCCCCGTTGTGTTTCATCCATTCGAAACAGAAAATTGCTGCTTGGGATATACATAAGAGCTTTGCACAATCGTTCATATCTTACGTACGGCTTCGCCTGTTGATGTGGTCTTATCGTGTTGTCAGTGATGAGAAGCTATCGTTGCGCCACTCGGTAGCCGCGGGTCGCTCCTCACGCCCATTTGACACGCTTCATTCAACAACCATCGCCACTAGTTATCGGTACATAATAGCTGCTGTTTATGTGATGCTAGCTCGTCTTTTTGGGGCTCTTGTTTTATTTCAGCTCTAAATCAGCTCGGCTCGTTCGACCCCCGCATTAGTTGGACTTGAGCTGGATCCGTTGTCGTTTGCAACCGCGTTTTCTGTTGATTACAAGCATATATCCATACATTTCAATTTAGCGTTCTGTGTATCTAAGTTTGCGTATGGCCGTGGCTTGGCTGGCCGCTAGAGGGGCCGTTTAGGACGCATATATGGGCTCATGCATCCGAGCGGGTGGTACATATTCACATAGCTGTATATGCCAGTTAGTTCTACCATGCGTATGACCGAAACTCAAACATATAATTCCACAAACAGACATCACAGCATCCAGACCATGAATATAAAACCATCAACCTTCTTTTGACCTCAAGAGTTCCATAGTTTCGTTTATCTCGTTCGCCCTATTGACTTCGAAGTTGTATGGTCCACCAAAAATCCATGAAATCCATTCTTCGCACTTCGCACTTGGCCAAATACTGTATATGTATCTAGGCACACCATAAACACAGAGGGGGCTATGATAGACACCTGGAACGTACCTTGCCACGTCGGATAAGTCATCCCCCTTGGTTGTATCATAGCATGGGCATCGAATAGTAACCGGCTGAATTGCGGCCTTCCCGGTTGATACCTCTAGTCGGTCAAACCTGATCATTGCCAAGACGAGTAGCCGAAGGTTCGGAAGCATAGATGCAATCAGCGGGAGATGGCTTGATTCAAGAAACTGGACCTCAAGGTTGAGCTCCTCGAGGTGCGGCACGGCGAGAAGAAAGTCGCGCCACTGGATCTTTAGATCAAATTGACTATCAGAGTCAGATTTATCATCAACATCCGAATCTTCAGGGTCGTCCCACAGTTGTAGCCGAACCTTTCCTAGCCTCAAACGTCGCAGTGGCATTCGCTTAAACACATCCAAAACGCCTGGTAAGAAAAGCGAGATATACGCCTGGGTGCATGGAGTGAACAAGATCAGATCAGTCAACTGCAGGCTGTTTGCAAAGCATGCCAGAGCGATACTTGAGCGGAAGCAATAGTTTATCGGTTGGGCGTAACATCCATCGTCAAAGAAGATTATAAGAGCTTTAGTCAGGCGACGGAAGGGAGAAGAAGGGTTGCGTATGCGCTGAATGTCTCCATCCTCTATTCCACGAAATTCTAGGCAACAAAGTGAAGGGAAAAGGTTGTCGGGAATAACTATTTCTTCGCGTACACCTTGTATAATCTGAGTACGGTCACCATGGAGCGAGAGGGTCGTGAGGTGTGGGAGCTGACCGAGAGCTTCAAACAGCTGTAAATTCAGATTCGCTACCCCGAGCGCAAGTTCCGAGAGACACTTCAATCCAGTGACCCTGCCGAGAATGGCGCTATAGCACGCTCTGTTTAAGCTACCACGTGCAGCTGGAAATAGACGTAAGGTGTTGATTCGAGAGCACTTGAGAGCTATGCCGTTGATGAGTTCCAGGGAGGTTTCTTCCGAAAGCCAAGAGTGCTGACAACGTATGTCTTCTCCAAAGTTTTTGTCCAATTCTATCGAGTGCATTTCAAAGCTTAGTAGCCCAGGAGCCAGTAGCTTAAAAATCCAATCGACTTGCTTTACTGTTGTAGAGCCACAAGTGTTGACGACCAAGCGCTGTAAGTTTGGTAGCAAAGGGGCCGATAGCTCACCAAAGGGCCATTCGGTATAGGAGTTGAAGATGTATGGCACGGCTGCCCTAACTACCTTCGCAAATGATGAATAGATTTCAAGTCTAGTCGTATCAATCATCAGGGGAAACGCTAGAACCTAAGTAGCAAGAACTTATTGGATAGCAAGTAGCGGTCGTTTGAGGCGAGCTTACCCATTTTTGCTCCACAATTTTCGGGTTGGAGCGCGACTCAATGTGCTTGGGTCTGCTGTATTTAAAAGTCTCCATACCAGGAATCAGTAGTAGCAGGAACATTAGATCAACATCCTCCCAGAGAATTGGCGCTACGTATGCAAAGTTGCGACGAGATACGCGAAGCAAACTAGCCGAATCGCGTTTGTTAGAAAAGTCGTAGATCATACGAACTAGCTCTGGCACAGTCAAAACGCGGAAGCACGAGGTGGGTTGGAAAGATCCAATATATTTTAACATCGAAGCAGCTAAAAGGCGTTGAGTAGACTGGTTTGGACTAGGAGGAGTGATAGAAAAGATGATCCGTACAGCAGAGCTACGCGCTAAGCTTGAGGAGATACGGGGGAGAAGATTGGAGCGGCTCAAGCGCAGACACGCAGTAGGTGGAGTTAGGGGTTAGGAGACTACCCCTGACAGTTAGATCGGATCACCCACGCTCTACATCAACCCCTGCATACAGAGAATTAAAGTAGCTACTGCTAGAAGAGCCAGGTATAGCTGTGCATCGCGAGAGAAAAGTCATAAGTGAGTCGTATCCAAGTACTGTGGAAGAATTGTGGTTAAGACGCAAACAAACGCGTAGCACGTGACTAAATCACAGGGTGTCTACGCGATATCCAACCGAGATATGTTGAGAGTACATTACCTGCAGTACTACTAGTACTCACAAAGCTATCAGAATTATCCTAAGAACGAAGTTTTTCTAAAATTTGGCACTGAACGAGTGAACTAGCATAAACATTGAGCGCGCATCAAACAAGCGCTAAAGCCACAGGAATCACGGACATCAAGTGTAAACCTCGTTGCTCCTCATTCGTATGTGCTCTGAGTCGAGTCATTCATCACACGAATATGGTATTATTTAATGATTAAACACAAAACAATGAGCATACAAACTCGCATTCGGTTGTTGCAAATTTCTTGTACCCGATGTCACGTGGTACCAGCTTTCTTGAACTCGGCCATAATATTCCAAACGCCACAGCCTCTACTTACGGTGCTGCCTTAAATTTCGCCGCTCCAAAAGCTCTGAGTAGAATACATCTACTACCGGGTAATAACAGGCAGCTGTACCACCGGGTCTGATTGCCGACCTCCCAATTCGAACATAATTTCTTTCTTGATTGCATCTTGTTGGTTTTGATGGTCCAAAATAGCTCGTATCATCGCACTTTAAAAATTCCCGAGCTAGCTCGGCATATTTCCGAATATTGCGGGGGAAGTGATCTGGTCAGCTTGCTCTGTGTATCTCAGCGTACCTTTGAGTATGCGGCACCACTTCTCTGGGAGGATATCAACCTAGCGTCCTTATTGCTACTTATTCCTGGGATTAAAAGCACGGGCACTTCCAAGTGGTGCAGTAGGCAGGAGATCCCAGTGTCCGAACGTGTGAGCTTTGTTACGCACCCTCATTTATGCGGTGTTTAATTTCCTTCACATAGGTATTTGATCTTCCCGCAACACTCGATTTAAGCAGGCTTCAGGTTTATTCGCATTTTGTCAAGGTAGCCAGGATGAGGGCACCATATGTTCTCAACTTTTCTGATGAGTCGCCTACTTCCACACTACCAATCCGGTTGTTACCAAACTTGCAACACCTGATCATGAAAACTAGTGGCTCCACAACCTCAAGACAGATTGAGTGGGTTCCCAAGCTGCTAGCCCCTAGTCTACTGAGCTTTGAAATGAACTCGATTTCTCACGAGGACAGCGCCGGGGAAGATCTGCGTTATGAGCATTCCTGGCTGACGCGAGCAGACTGCTTGGAACTGGTCGATATCATGTCTGACATCTGTCCTCGTATCAACACCTTGCGCATATTCCCGACCGAGTCTGGTGCCCTAGGTGTGATCCGAGAGGATGCCATCTCTAACAAGATCGCCCGGCTGAAACACCTCTCAGCGCTGGCGCTTGGAACCGTAAACGCAAGCCAAGAGCTATTTAATACTCTTGGCCAGCTTCCACACCTCGAGACCCTCTCGCTCCACAGTGACGCCCTCCAACCGATGCCACACGAATCTGCCAAAATAACCATTTCTGATGATTTGTTCCTCGCGCTTCGTCACCTGGAGTTACGTGGAATGCATGACTCGGTTATCCAACGCCTTTGTGCTTCTCCGCTCTTTCACCGTCTAGTGAAGGCGAGTATCATTTTCCTTGACCACACGCATGGCGAGGAACCGCTAGACCACCACACGCGCTCAAAACTAATTGCTCAATGTTTTGGTGCGAATAGCTCGCGCATCGTCGATCTTACGTTACTCACCGTAAACGCCGGCAACGAGGGTTTCTCACCTGTAGCACCAGATATTCTAGTCACATTCGAGCAAATGCCGCTGCGACGTCTTAGGCTTGGGACATTTCCCATGAAGTACTGGCTATTGGAGGATCTTAACCCGGAGATCAAATGGCACGAGTTTTTAGTCACTGTGCCACGCCTCGAGGAGCTCCACCTCGAGTTGCACATCCTCAAGTCAAGCTATCTACCACTTGTGGCGTCTATGCTCCCAAACCTTCGACTACTTGTGCTAAGACACATTGAATTTGATAAAATGGAAGAGTCGAC